GAATTCAGGCCAACCCAAAACTAGCACAACACAAAAGGCACCTAAAATTGACAACTAAGGTAACTCAAATATCTACGCATCAGATACCTTTATCATTTGTGAAACCAAACCCACAAAGGAAAAAAAAAACAAATACATGAGGCAGACAATGTTTAGTTCACCTCTCAGCCTGTAACAATTCAAGTGGGGGGAAAAAACACAGCAGGGATTTAGTTCAGTGGTGCTGCTGCCTGCCTTGCAAGTACAAGGTCCTGAGTTTGATCCCCGGTACCAAAAAAAAAACCCAAAAACAAAAAACAAGTGCTGCCTTATGGGCCAAGGATTTAGCTCAGTGGTGCTACCACCTGCTTCACAAGGGCAAGGTCCTGAGATTGATCCCTGGTACAAAAAAAACAAACAAAAAAACCCCCCCAAAACCAAAGGAAGCTAAAACACAATGGGGTACATTCCACTGATATAAGAACCCCATAGACCAAAAATTTCTTTTTAAGTGTACACAGAATACTCACAAAAACTGAGCCACAAGAAATCAGAAACTGAAGTTGGCACTGTATGGATGATGTTCTCTACTCAAAGATGCCATCCAGTTATACATAAAAAACCAACCCAGAGATGGGGTAAAATGAACGATGGGGAAATCACAGATCTTTTCAGTGTATCTTTTTATATAGTTTTTTTAGAAGCAGAGTAATGTTTCACATAACCTGTCCCATTCAAAAATTATGCATAAGTCAAAATGGTAAACAAACAACAACAAACTTTAGTCCATTAACAATGAATAAAATAACCACACTGAAAGGGATAGGGAAGGCAAGAACTAATCCAAACAATTTTGGAAAACAGTAAGACTGAAGATACTGTAAGACTGAAGACAGAAGAATTGGCTGGGTGTGGTGACACCTGCCTGTAACCTCAGCACTTGGGAGAGGCTGAGGCAGGATGATTCTTAGTTTGAGGCCAGCCTGGGCAACAAAGCAAGTTAAGGCCAAGCTGGACTGTATTGTAAGACAGAAAGACAGAAAGACAGAGACAGACAGAGACAGAGAGAGACAGAGAGAGAGAGAAAACAGACAGAAATGAGACAGAACTCTAGCATATAATAGTTACTAATACATGTTATTCTAGGGACAGGGTTAAAATACAAAACCACTTTATGTTTATTTTGGACTGAAAAGAAGATAGATATAACATGATGGCCAGGTTTTCTGTGCCAACTGAAAATAATGTAGCCGAATTCCAAAATCCAGATGAGGATATGCAGGTATCTGAGCCCAGGCCACTTGCCTGAGCGGCTAAAGCAAATACTTAGCATTTTTAGTTTCCAGAGCAAGAAAGAAGCACTTCATCCCACTAAGAACAAGGCAGAGGATTCCCCAAATATAACAATGCAGCAGGAAAAAATTTTTCTGCCAAAATCAAGAGTAAACATTTTGCAAAAAATGAGTGATATATATAAATAATAATATAATACATAAGAGCATAAAATACATAAAATGCAGCATACAGACTAACAAAGAATCATCAGAATACAAAAACCATAATTAAACTGTAAGTAAAAATAAACACAGGAATGATACAATTTGAAGGTCACACTTAAGATTCAACCCAGGACCCCTTAGGGCAGCTAGAACTCATTTCACTCAACTCCTTGTGAGATTCAGAACAGAATCAGTGACCTTTCAAATAATGCAAGGAGTCAACTGTTTAAAACTTTGCATGTTCTAAAAGTGTCTCCTCATATGCTCAGGAGGCCCACAATGGTGAAATGGCCAGAGAGGAACAAAAAACAAAAGTATAGCTAATAATTACTTTTCTGTCTCTCTTGTCCTTCCAGAGGGCCATCTTCTGGTTCTACTAAGAAAAAAACAATTACAAAGAACAGAAAGTGACACAAGAAACAGTGACAAAAATCCTTCAGTGTCTATGCATATTCTCCACTTTTTCATCCTTCATTTTCTCATGTTGAAATGGACCAGAAATAATTCATGCTTTTATAAAAACTCCTAATTCACTTGACAGTGTTTGAAATATTTGTGACTGCCTGGGTTAAATTTCAAATGAGAGGCAGGGGGTGGCTTTACAAAAGGTGACAAGCTGGGACTTGAAGGATGAAGAATAAGAAAGGAAGAGGTAAAGCCGTAGACTCTCCAATAACAAACAAACTGAGGACACTCAAGATCTCCATGCCGACTGGGAACATGATGATTGCAGCTCATGTCCATAATACTGTGCACCACAGGCAGGAACCCAGAGAGACGCAGTTTGGGAAGGCCAGGTTGACTGAGTTACGGAATGATTAATGCCCATAAAGCATTCAAATATCATTGTCAAGTAAGGAGGTTGAAATAGGAGCTCAGGAAGAACTTGGAGATCTCAATCTGGAAACCATCTTACATGTAAGTCAAGGTCAAAGCTACAGAATACATGCCTGTTACTAATGCCAAAAGGACCCCAGACTACCAGAACACTGATGAGAAAACTAAAATCAAGGTAGAATCAAAAAAAGTGATAATTTTTAATTGCCAAAAGCAAGTCAATGAACTCTTTTATTCCCCTGTTTAGGACACATGTTCTTGATTGAATTTTTATGTGGATATGCAGAAAAATGCTGCCAGAGGATCCTGCAGGGACAGGAATATTCCTGTCATGTGCACGGCATTTTCAGCGCACACCTCTCCGTGTGTGATGTCACCGTGCCTCCCTATAACAATGGTGAGCTCAGAATGTTTTGAACAGGGCATAATTCTCATCATAAAGATGAAGAAATGGAGGCTCAAGTGGCAGAATCCAGCCCCAAACACAAGGTCTCTGACTCCCCACCCTAACGATAGTAGTGAATCTTAGTGGCCCAAAGGCACGACCAAGATGAAAGTCTACAATCTGTGTGTATGTTGTTCTTCATTTTTCAAGTACGTATGGATTTTTTTTTTGTAGCTTTAATGCCTTTTTCTGTGTAAACATTAACATAGTCTCATGGTAAATTGAAAGTCTACAATCTGTGTGTATGTTGTTCTTCATTTTTCAAGTACGTATGGATTTTTTTTTTTGTAGCTTTAATGCCTTTTTCTGTGTAAACATTAACATAGTCTCATGGTAAGTAAACTCTAATTTTATAAAACTGACAAAAGAAAATAATCAGTCCATAATCTGTGCTCTCAAGATACCTGCTACTAGCTGGGCATGGTGGCACACGCCTGTAATCCCAGCGCTCAGGAGCCTGAGGCAGGATCACTATGAGTTCAAGACCAGCCTGGGCTACAGAGTGAGTTCCAGGCCAGTCTCAACTACATAGTAAGACCTTGTCTCAAAAAACCAAAAAAAAAAAAACAAAAAAAAAAAAAAAAAAAACAAAAAAAAAAAAAACAAAAAAAAAACAAAAACAAACAAAAAAAAGAAAGAAAAAAAAGATACCTGCTACTAATAGTTTTAAGTATGTTCTAGTAGTTCATTTTCTGTACACATTTTATGAATGCATGGTAAGAGCTGTATAAATGCGTGTCTGTGTTTGAATATTATTTTTGTAGGACTTGGCAAAAGTTTCCACTGGATCAATTTCTTGAAGCAGAATGATGAGTCACAGTGTATACTTCAAACTTTAGTATCTACCGCCAAGTAACTTTCCGAAGACGTTGTACCCATTTCTACAAATATATAATATGAAACTGACAAATATGATTACTAAAATGTAAAAAATTCTATCAGACAAAAAGCTCACGTTGATATAATAAATGGAACAAAATATTTCAGGTGATTCCCTCATATGTGAAAATTTCTTACAAATCAAAACATAAAACTAAAACAATAAGCAAAGATAATAAGCAATCAAAAAAGCAACATTTAATTCCACACAGTAAAGAAGTGTAAATTAAAGAAAAGAAAAGCATTATTTTTCACCCATCAAATTGGCCTCCCAAAAATTGAAAGAATAGAAAAACGCGTTCTTTGGAAGAGTAATAATTCAACTTCTGCAAGTCATTTTGGCCATGTATGAATATTTTAATAATTATAAACAGAGCCAGAATACAAATGCACAATAACTTATTATTTAAATGCACTGTTGCTAACTATAAGAATTTTCAAATACACTGTCACTCAAAAAATTTTAAAATTATGTTTAAACCATACAACGGAACATTTCATATCTATAAAATGATATTTGGTCATTTTAGCATAAAAAGTATTCATGGCATGAAAATACTTATATATGTATTCATATATATGTATCCTAGGCATAAGAAAAATATCTTAATACAAAATATTAAGATATAAAGAATTAATTATAATTCTATCTGCACAGAGGAATGACAGTTTACATGATTGTTTTGTACAGTACCCATGTATGAAGGAAAACATTAAAACCATTACCACTTGAAAAGTGATGGGAACTCTGAAAAGCAGGAGTCAGAGGGCCAGAACTAGATTATGTCCTGGATCTTTTTCCATTCAGAAACTGAACATGACAACTAAGGAAATGCTACAAAGGAGTTGTTTCCTGTGAGTTAAGAAAAACTTGTTCAAGATTTATTATTTCCCTAGATCTTTCTGGGAGACTATATTACAATAAGTGTATTTCTCATTCATACGATTTTTTACTTCTCTAATATGGTGGTTACATCTTGGAAGAAGGGGTAGGGGGTGGGAATAAAAGATAATAAAATCCTAGTCCAGGCTAAACCTTCTTTAGGTTTCAGGATTCCCAAAGAAAAAATCAGTGCAAATCTCCAAATTTAGGCCTCAGACCTAGAAATGGACATTTGTTCTTTAGGATCTATGTGTATAATATTATCCTACTGACATCAAATATTACCAATTCTGATTTATAAATGGAGAAGAAAAGTTAAAGCATACACAGCACACTGGATTTACAGTAAACTATCAAACAGCATTGCTTACCTAAGCTTTACTCACCATTCTTAAATGCTCATAAAAGCATACCCAAATATTCAATCATGCCTTCAACTCTTTTGTTTACATATTATAGAAAAAAGTTAAATAATTACCTCTCCTATGAAGACTACTATAACACAGTCCAACTTCTCTTCGGGATACAGATTATCAATAAGGGAATGAAGAGTTTCTATGAGGTAAGATTTAACTTCTCTCTTCACTGTGGGAATTCCCATTACTATTGAAACTGAAACAAAATAATATAATAATTATATAAAAACACGTTACAGGACAATATCGAAAAACACTGCTATTTCCAAAGTATTACACCTTCTTAAACCGATAGGAATATCAGTTTGAGGGATTCTACTTCAATTTCAGCAAGAAAAATAAAGGATACAAGGGGCATATAACACTATAATTCTGTTCCATATGGCTTACCTATTAAAATATGTAATGTCAGAAGACTGATAAAAATAAGAGATTAAACCTCACGCTAAACATAAGTGCTATATAAACAGCATATTTTATTGTACAACAAAACTTAAAAATCGACATATTCAAGAAATAATGTCTTACATATCAACTCCAAGGATATAACAACTGAGATGGGTATAACATCACTTCTGTGGTTGCCTTGCCAAAAATGCATAACCTCAACCTAGCCAGGAAGAAACACCAGACAGATCCAAACTGGGGAACAGTCCAACCCTCCAGTGCTCTTTCAAGGGTCAAAGTCATAGAAGATAATGAAAATCTGTCCTGGGTTGCAAAAGGCTAAGGAAACATAACAATTAAATGAAATATGGAATCCTGAGTTGGAACCTGGAGCAGAAAAATGGTGATGATGAAAATACCAATACGTGAATAAGAGCTCAGGTTAGTTAATAACCTCAGGTCAATGTTCATCTCCTGGTTTGCTCATTGTACTATGGTTGTCTGAATACTTGGAGACACTGCTTGCAAACATAAGGAAACTTTGTACACTGCAGGTCTAAAATGACTATATTGCTTGTTCTGAATGCAAATCTCTTCCTACATAATACACAGGGGAACAATTTAGGCACAATGTGAATTTTACATTTGCTTATGTAAAGCATCCCCTCTGAACTACCCACTAAGTGAATAATAGAAAATTGTACCTAGCTGGACCAAATTCAGAAACAGAACCAAACCATGCAGAAATACACACAATGGATACATTTTAAACATCTATTAGTGGCCTCAGTTTACCACATGCAAAGAACCATCCCATCCACATCAGGTGTTACAGCTACTTAAGACCTCAGATCACCTGCCCTGCCCCTCAGCAGGGTAACTCGAAGGAGCTACCTACCTGCATTCACCTTAACAAGCAAACCAGGAGTCTTCCAAGGCAGAGTACCATATGTATTGTAGTATCTGTGTACTTATCATTCACCATGTATAAACCTGTACTAATATCTTTATTAAGTTATCGTTTTTATGTGCAACTAATAACATTGGAATGTTATGACCCTAATTCCACTTTTCTCATTTTATAGTATAATTTTGTATTGTGCAGTCATTTGAGGGAACATACATGCTCTAAAATTGCCAGTATTTCAAAATGAGTTTTTAAAAATTACACCTTAAAGTCTTAGTATTCCATGTGCTATATGTCAGTAGAGAAGTTTTTCTCAAGTGTTAAAAATAATTTAATCTGAATTATGGAACATTTATAAGAGACACTATAAAAGAATTCATAGAATCCCAAAGCTGGAAGGAAATTTGAAGGTCACAGACCAATTAATCTACCATCACGATTTTGCAGACAAGAATACTAAAGTACCAAGGGTTTAGGGAGCTGCTCCTGAGGTTCCAGGTCATGCCCCTCTTCCCTTTTAGGAAGGAAGAGTCATCATGACTCAAAAAGGGATCTGCTCTACTGGTTCTTCATGTATTAAGAACATCTATTAAAGGCAAGGTTCTCCTCTAGGTGTCAGGCATATAAATGGTGAACAGTATAAATCAGACCCCTGTGCTCTCTGGGTCTATGTAGAAGTGGGGGCCTGAGTGTAATCAGAGAGGTTGATGTGGACTAAACAAATTTTAATGAGGTCAGTGAGAAAGGGTGATGAACTGGGGAGACTGTGATTGTGGAAGGCCTCGCCTCTTTGATACCAACTGAGCTGGTAATGAACAAAGAGAAAGAGCTGAGAAAGAACATTCCAGAAGAGGAAACAGCAGGGTCCTGAGGGCATAATGCTCTTGACATAGTCAATAAATAGCAGGAAGAGAATGCATCTGAAGCAGAGTAAGCCTTGACTCAGGTTAATTAGTCAGGAGTCAGGTCACATAAAACAAACAGTTTGACTTCTGAGCATGAAAGAAAGCCATCCAAGGATGTAGGCAGGGAGCAATGTTATCCAACTCATAATTTTAAGGGAATACCAAGTTTTGTAAAAAGTCAAAGCACTGTTTTAAGAGGAGCAACATCTTTGGGAAGATCAATTATGAAGTAACTGTACTAATTACAGGACAAGGGGTTTAAAGTAGGAGATCTGAAGAGATGGAGGCTTGAGAATGCCTGGAAACACCACCCCACGTGGGCTGCAGCAAGTGAGGGGAGAGGTCAAGGACAACTCAGAATAAGGTGTGGGGGGGTGTCTTCTCAGAGCAACACATCTGGGAGGGCAGGGCACCAAATCTAGATTTCCATTTTGGCCATGTTACCTTGAGATGCTAAAAGACAGGGTGAGTTACCCTGGAAGCAGATTTCCATACACTTTGATCTACCTCAGAATTTAAATTTGGGATGTTTCGAGGTAGGGAGGCACTCAGTGGTAGAGTTTCACTTCCCATTTATGAGGCTCTAGGTTCCACCCCCAGCATCACATACACACACACTCTCTCTCTTAGAATATAGATTTAAAAGAGTAACTATGATAAGAAGCGTTCCTAGGCAACACTAACTCAGGTGAAGTTCAAAGACTTTGAAGAAAAAGCAAACACGCTATTCCAGAGTATGCAAACAAATGTGGACCAAAGTAATAATGCAAATTCTATATTCTCTACCACTCTTGGGATTTTTCATCTCTTTTATCTTGCTTTTGTTTAGATGGCATGTTTAAAAAATAAACTTTTTTCCTCAAATATAGTCTTGTTTTGATGCTGAAATTTAAATTCATTAGTTCAAACTAAGACACTCAAAAGACTCCGAAAGCACTGAAAATGAAAGTACTGATTTTGACCAAACTTACAGAATTAGAGTAACTGTGTTTGTGGTATTCACAAAATGACCACAAAATAGGTGGTTTTCCCTGCCTTCCAACCCATGGTAAAACTGCACTTCTTGGTCCCTTCCTGGTTAGGAGAGTGAGGACACAAATGTGACTAGTGAGGACAGCCCACAGGTGACCACATGTGCCCTCTGGGGTGCTTCCGTCTGAAACCTTTAGGTTGTCTGGTCGCCTTGGCAAGGCAACACAATGGGAACTGCTCTGTCAGCCTGGGTCTCTGAGAATCAGTGAGGAGGGAGGAGGAAGCCCTCTCACCCATGAAGGGCTTTTACTATTGGCAAAAACAAACATTTGTTATGTAAACCACTAAGATTGGGGGTTATCAGGTATCACAGCCTAACCCAGCCTATTCCTGTGTGACACACAAATCTTCTGTCAGTTACAGACGAGAAAATATTTGTATCCTAAGGCTGGATTTTTTGACACACAAATCTTCTGTCAGTTACAGACGAGAAAATATTTGTATCCTAAGGGGCTGGATTTCAAGGAAAATAAATACAAAGTGTGACTGAAAAATACAGTGAACATTAAAAGTTTTTAAAATTTATTACAGTAAAAATCATATTGCTATTAATCCCAAAATACTCATCTTCACGTTGAACACCCTTTCTCATTCTCACCGCTTTCTTGAAGCAGTTCTGGGAGTCCTCTTTCATGACTTGAGTTGTGCTACTGCAGCTGCCTCAATGTTCTGAATGAATTCAAAACATTTCCCTTCCATGGTCACTTGATTTTGGGGGAAGAATCACAAGTTTCATGGTGCCAGATCCAGTGAATAGGATGGATGAGGACGTGTTACAATGTTTTTTATGAGCTTGACTTTTGACTGGATGGCACTTGGCAGCAGCATTCTCCATACTTATCACACCTTGTAAAGGCCCTCAGGAAAGAAGACACAGAACTGGCTCCAGAAAGTGCCAAGAACAACGGGACAAGTGTGTCTGAAGCAAGCAGGAGTTTGAGAGGGATTCACGGCAGTGTGGTTTTTGCTGTAATCAACTTCTAATTTAAACATTCATCGTCTATTTTAACCACATCTCATATGTCAGCAAAGCAAAGAATATGCTAATCTATAGAGAACCAAGAAATCAAACAGAAATAGAACCAGAGTTGGCTAAGTATTTTGTTTCATGAACTGTTCAGTATTTCCAATTCAAGTATTAAATGTTTGTATCTCAAGACTTGCCATGTAGAGGTACATGATCCCAACAATGAATGTAACTGTACTGTATCCCTAAAATGTACCAATAAACTCAATAAAATTTAAAAAAAATAAAAAATAATAATAATAAAATAAATGTTTGTATGTAATATTTACTATGTACTAGACAACCGGAAATACAATCATAAGATTGATAAGGCCCCTAACTCTTGTGTTTATGACTTGGCAAATAGTAACTGTTGCTATTTCCGTTTTCTTTCACTTTCCTAGGAGGTTTTCAAACTCTAGTGTGTATTTCCTTTAAAATAAAAAAAAATTTAGGCACTATCTTTATTTGACATTCTTAATCTTTAATTAGTCTACCTTCAGTTATAACTAAATTATGTTCCTTTTAAAATATTCATTGGTAGTCAAATATTTTTAGCCCATCATGTTCCCTTATGGCTTGACTTTGGTCATCTATTCTTCATTCCTTTCCTTCTACTCCAGGGTAGTATTCTGATTCTACTTGCTTGATGCATCTTCTGTGTCTCCATCTTTCCCAGTGTCATTTTTCTCTTTTGAGGGAAATTAACTTCTGGAGAACTTTCAAGGCTCAGCCCTGGGTCTCCAGTGATCTCACTTACACACATCTTAACAACTACTCACTCACAATGACTCAGAAAATTAAATGAACTTACTCCAAGATCTTACCTTGGAGTCCCTTATCTTAATATACAGTGAGCTGACATCTTCACTGCAATGTGTCAAAATCACCTAGAAACTCACCATATCCAAATGTAATATATGATCTCCTCTTACAAACCAATGCAGTAAAACATCTGTCACCTATCTTCCCCCACCACACTCAGGCTATCCAGAAACTAGGACTTATCCTCGACCACTCCTTCAACCTCAATCCAGAAATCCACTCAGTCGCTTTCTTATGTTCCCACATATTCCAAACAACTCCTGAATCCACCTTCCTTCCATCTCTTCTACCCAATCCAAGTCCATCCTCCCTCAAGTGGTCACTGAAACAGCCTCTTATCTCATCTTCCACATCTGCTCTTCTTCACATACTCCATTATTCTTCCCACTGCAGGAAATGTGACCTTCACAAAATTCAAATCCCATCAAGTCATCCTTCGGAAGTGCTGTTTAAACCCTTCAGTGGCTTCCTACTGCTCTTAGGATACAAACTGAAACCCTACAGCCATTCTAAAAGGCCCTTTGCCACTTGGCCTTGACTTGCATTTCTAGCCTCATCTTGTTCTGTGCTTCTCCTCATGCTACACTTCACCACTGAGGATCTTCTTTCATCTTCTAGAATATTCCATGCTCCCTTCCATCACAAGACTGCTGTGGTGCTCTTCTCCTTTTCTGGAATATTCTTTTCTTCCAAATATAAGATATAAGAACAATGACCTCCCAAAGATGACCACGCCTTAAATCCTGGAACCTGAATGTTACCTCGAAGGAGCTCTTGAAATGGGAAGAATGATCGGGATTATGTAGTGAGCTCACCATAACCACAAGGGCTACACAGAGGAAGGCCAGGGGGAGAGGAGGGAGCATATAAGTACAGAAGCAAAAGGGTTACAGTTGGAGAATGATTTGAAGACACTTATGCTTGGAAGATGAAGGAAAGTTCCACAAAACAATGTGGGTGGCCTATGGAAGCTGGAAAGCACAAGGAATTATTTTATCCAGAGCTTCCAAGAGGAACATACCCCCGAGAACACCTTAATGTTAGGACTTTTCTCCAAAACTGTAAGACAACAAATTTGTTTTACCTCGTTGAGGTAATAGTGATTTGTTACAGCAAGAATAGGAAACTAATGCACCCACCTTCCTTTATAAAAGACAGTCTACTGCTCTCAGGTGAAATGTATTAAGATTTTCCTAAATTCTTTAATTAGGCCACAGACCTCTTTCACGTGTTCTCAAAGCAGTCGTTACATCACTAACTTAAACTGTAATTATACGAGTATTTTAGTAACTTATTTGACTAATGCACATCTCCTTACCATAGAGAAGCTCAAGACTAAGACCCACCCACCCAAATTCTGTTAGCCAAAGTCCCTAGCAAGGTGCCTGGCACATGGCAGGTGCTCAGGGACTTGGACTTCAGCAGGTAAAGAAACACCTGCTGTCCCCCATGAGCAGGGTGCTTCCAAACCAGGGGATAACCTGACTCACCTTTTTCCAGCCCTGCAACTCTGCACTGAGAGGCTTTTTTTGGAAGAGGTAGGTGCTTCTTCAACTCAGAGACATTTTCTTCTGGTATTTGATTACTTCTTCCCTGGGCTCTTTGCTCTCCCCTTCCATTCCTCATGCACTTTATGCTGCATGCTGAAAGAACTATACCGCTCCACCCTTCTGATCACTAATCTGATCTTTAGCTGCTTCTGCTCTTAACCGGGCCATCTAGACAGAAGTTTTAAATATAATTATCAAAATAAGAAAGACAAAGTTTTCTAACTGATCTTTTCAATCTCACCATTCCATGGTGAGCTGTCCTCTGCCACTCCTCCTCTAAAAATACACAGGTTATGTTTTCTTTTCAAATCACACTCTGCTCTGCAGACTCAGTTTTTGTGAGGACTGGACTGCCGTGGTGTTGATCCTGACCCGTGGGAAGGTCTACTTGGAGGAGTCTGCCCCTCTGTAGTTGCTGAGTCTGTCCTCTGCCTAAGTAAACTTTGCGGGAAGACATGGTTGGCGCTGGTTAGTGAGAAGGCAGTGTTCCGTTCAGAGGTGAGAATTCCAATCCCCTCCCTGGATAAAGGCCACTGGGAATACTGATCCCCCTTCTCTAGTCTGAGGAAGAAACCCCTGCTCCCTAATTAATCAGCCTAGCCACTAAGAACAGAATCTTTAGCAGGAAGCTTTGGCTCAAAGAACAGAAGTACGTTTTTGCGGGGAAGGGGTGCAAAAGGGTCTTTGCTATGTAGTCCAGGCTAGCCTTGAACTCGGGACAATCCTCCTGCCTCAGACTCCCCAGTGCTGGGATTACAGGCGTGCATCACCATGCTAGGCAAGACCTTGAAAGTTTTAAATGACTTTAAAAACACTTCTATTTTGTTTTTATTTGCTATTCTTATTAGTGAAGATATAGTCTAAGCCAATAAAACCACAACTGGCTAAGGCATCTTACCTAAATACTATCAAAAGGAGAGACAATATTCGTATCTAAAATAAGTGTTATAAAGAAATTAATTTAGAGTTCCTATACATCTTGTTAGTCCATGTATCTAGCTTCTGCAGAATGCCTGGCCTCAATATATGTTTCTCGGCTCAATAAAGAAATGGAAGAATGAACTAGTCTGAACATGATGCTTTAAGAGTTACCACTTCCAGCAAGGGGTGGTGGCATTTGCCTATTATCCCAGCACTGTAGGAGGCTAAGGCAGGAAGATCACAAGTTTAAACCCAGCCTGAGCAATTCAGTGCCTTAGCAAGACCTTGTCTCAAAATAAAAATCTACAAAGGACTGGAGATGAAGCTCAGTGTGAAGGTTCTGGGATCACTCCCCAGTACAAAAAAAGGCGGGGAGGGTTCCATCTCTTTAGGAAAATACCATGCTATTTTAAAAGATTAATAAAAAAATATGGCAGAACTAAAATATAACAGGATGAATTGCGCTTATAAGTATAGATTAAGAAACAAAAACATGTAACCAAAAGACAGAAAATGCCTAAGATTGCTACTGAATCAGAAGCAGCTTTTCAAAAATATTAATGAAATATAATGAATTTCAATATCTATGAAGTAATCATCTTCTCTCTTGTTTATGGCTTATAAAGGAACAAAATAATACTTTGGTCTCTATGTTTCAAAATCCACAAATAGCCAGGCCCAGTACACCTGATGTTCTGGCTACTTGGGAGGCTGAGGCAGGAGTATCACTTGAGGGTTTCAGATCAGCCTGGCCAACATTAGGAGAACCTGTCTTTTCAAAAAATTAATTTTAAAATAAAATCTATCCAAAAGTTAACAAAGTTAAAATGAAGGAATAAATAGTACAAAGAGTTACAAACAGGTCCCCTAAGGACAATTCAAGTAACTTAGTGGCTCTGACAAAGGAGAGATAAAAATATAAATTATCTTGTGGGTATATTAGAAAAAGGTAGTAAACCACAGTGTTTCTATACTGGCATGAAAAGTGAAATAAGAATGATGACGTATATCCCTCTAAGAAAAAGTAGGACAGAGACCAAGCCTTGCTGGCATGACTGTGAGAGCTATTAATGTTGAAATAAGATACAAGAGAAAAAGCCACCCTCTACCTCCCAAATTTTAAAACAAAAAAATGACAAAGGTTGAACCATTTGGCCCCCTGAACTTCATCATCTTCGGCAGTCTTATTCTAGTCTATGGAGAAAAAGTCCCACTGTTTCCACCTGGGAACTGGACTGAGTTCCCAGTCCCTGAGCACAGACAGAGAAAAGACCTTCCCTCTCTGCTGCCAAGCTCTAACGGTCACCACCGTACCTCAGTCACAAGTCAGACCAGGGGCAGGGCCACAACGTCAACATACCTCCAGTTCTCCCACTGCCGATCTGCACGGCGGGCTGCAGGCTTCCTTCATTCTGTAGTAAGTGAGGCAAATGATGATAAATACTTGGCACTTGAAGAGATTTTTTGCTTGTTAACTCCTTCAGTAGCTTTAAGGTCGTATCTGAAACACAAAAAGCCTAATTAATCCACAGAACACTTTACCTAATAAAAGTTGCTGATTTTATAAAGATAACAGTAAAAATTTACAGAATGTTCTTTCTTAATACACTTTGGTGAGTGGGCTCTCCGTTTAAGGTGCAAAGGACCCCCCTACAATCCAGCCTCCCAGATGGTGCAGATGAAACAGACCGAGGGAGCGGAGGGCAGCAGAAGTGCCCAGAGGAAGTGGAGCACTAACCACTCGCCTCAGAGAAGCCCAGAGCTCAGACCCATGGGACAGACACCAGCGGGCTGTCCACCTACAACAACGCAATGACAGCAAGTATGCTGGCCACCAGTACCCTTTCCTTTCTCTATCTGTTCACGTTTTGCCAACATTTTCCATGGAACATCTCCTGTTTTCTGAAAACCTGAATGGAAACAGGACAAGCTGTGAATATTCAGTACAGATCATAACCTTCAAATAGTGTCAGTTTTTCTTAAGGGAACCAGTAAATCACGTCATTTGTTATGAAAGAAAATTTAGTTTAACCCAGAGTGCACATGTCATCCCAGGTACTCAGGGGACTGAGGCAGGAGAACTGAGTTAGCGGTCAGCCTTGGCTACTTAGCAAGATCCTGCCTCAAAAAAAAAAAAAGCAAAAACAAAAACAAAAAGGCTGGAGATGCAGCTCAGTGGCAGAGTGTTCTCTTAGCCTGAGGTCCCAGGTTCAATCCTCAGTACAGCAAATTTTTCTTTTTTAAATAAAAAAATTTTAAATAGCTTTGGGACTGAGGATGCAGCTCAGTGGTACAGCACTTGCCCAGCATGAGTGAAGTCCTGGGTTCCATTCCCAGTACAGAGGGAAAAAAACCAAAAACCAAACACTTGGTTCAGTTATGCAATATTGTTTTAAAATGTCATTAAAGTAGAATTTAATCTTTCAAACAAGACACCTACGAGTAAGGACTTGTACCCTCAACTCCTTTTAAACTATGACAAAAACTAGCATGGTGGCACATGCCTGTAATCCCAGTATCTTTTGAGGCTGAGGCAAGGTCACAGGTTTGAGGTCAGCAGGGGCTACACAGCAAGTTTAAGACCAGCTTGGACTGTATAGCAAGATCCTGACTCAGGAAACAAACAAGAAAATGAATAAAAACTTTTCACCATCACACAAGAAACAAAACTTTAATTCTGAGTAAGGAAATACAAATTTCATTATGCCATTTTCACCTATCAGATTAGCAGATTAAATATCAAATATTGGTAATAATGCAATGTCTAAGCTACTTAGAACAACATCAAAAGCCCTAAAAAAATTCAGTCCTACTACTCAGTAATTTCCTTTTTAAGAATCTAGCTTTTGCCAGGCACGGTGGTACGTGCCTATGATCCCAGCACTCTGGGAAACTGAGGCAGCAGGAGTACAAGACAAGTTCAAATTCAGCCTGGGAAACTCAGCAAGACCTTATCTCAAAGTGAAAAATTTAAATGGGCAGGGCCTGGGAATGTAGCTGAGTGACAAGGCCTTGCCTTCAATCCTGAGTATAAGAAAAAACAAAAAACAAAAACAACAATAACAAAAAACGCTTTTATGTATTCAACAAATGTTTAGTAGTTTATCTTGTTCTAGGAATGGTACCATAATGTCTGAAAGTCAACAGTCATCAAAACATGCCAATTTTGAAGAAAGTCATTGTCTCAATGAAAATAAGGGCTAACAAAAATGTGATCAATTCATATACAAAGACATTTATCACAGCATTATAAGTTGAGAGGCAAAACAACCCAGGGAAAACTCATTCAACTAAGTGTAAACAAATGTTTATTATGGTATATAACTGGTTACAGCTACTAAAAAAAGCATTCTGAAGAATATTTAATGACACAATAAAAATGCTCACGGTTTCATTTCAAGAGTAAATATTTTGAAGAAAAAAATGCATGGAAAAAAGGACTGGAAGGAAACAAAAAAACTTAACAGAAATCACTTGGCACCATGCTTCTGGGTGGGTTTATCTACATTATTCCATAATTTTAAATATTACTGTGACATAATATACACTTATCAGGAGGGGAAATTGAGATCATAAAACTTTAAAAATGAGGTAAAGTAGTGGATGTCCAGATTAAAGAAATTCATGTTTTTCGTTTCTTTAGAATTTTAAAAATACATTAATCTAGAAAGATAGTGCAGATCTGAAGGCAGCTTAATTACAAACATATATCTATCTGATTATCAGACTAAGAAGATAACAAAAACAAAGAGAAGATAAATGGCATTCATCTTCCTGACCAGACAGCCTCAGAGAAGGGGACCAGGTCAGCTATCTCCAAAAATATCCATTATAAAACCACGTATCTTCCTCATTATTATTAGATGAAAGAGCAGGGATTATTCCACATAGCACAGACTTTTCAGATCCCCATCAAGTCTATATGCAAGTTACCACATAAGCCATCAGCAAGAAGTTAAACTAAATCTCATTCTGAATTTGTTTGCACGAGATGAAGGTTCTTCACTACTGTCAACAAAATTTATATAACTGAACTTTAACTTGTAGTACTCTTTTAAAATCAAATTCAGCATTTAATAAAAATGACTTTCATGTGTTGATTTTTCTCTCTGAAAAGTGTTAAGCTGGCTGTGCCTTCAATCCTGAGTATAAGAAAAAACAAAAAACAAAAACAACAATAACAAAAAACGCTTTTATGTATTCAACAAATGTTTAGTAGTTTATCTTGTTCTAGGAATGGTACCATAATGTCTGAAAGTCAACAGTCATCAAAACATGCCAATTTTGAAGAAAGTCATTGTCTCAATGAAAATAAGGGCTAACAAAAATGTGATCAATTCATATACAAAGACATTTATCACAGCATTATAAGTTGAGAGGCAAAACAACCCAGGGAAAACTCATTCAACTAAGTGTAAACAAATGTTTATTATGGTATATAACTGGTTACAGCTACTAAAAAAAGCATTCTGAAGAATATTTAATGACACAATAAAAATGCTCACGGTTTCATTTCAAGAGTAAATATTTTGAAGAAAAAAATGCATGGAAAAAAGGACTGGAAGGAAACAAAAAAACTTAACAGAAATCACTTGGCACCATGCTTCTGGGTGGGTTTATCTACATTATTCCATAATTTTAAATATTACTGTGACATAATATACACTTATCAGGAGGGGAAATTGAGATCATAAAACTTTAAAAATGAGGTAAAGTAGTGGATGTCCAGATTAAAGAAATTCATGTTTTTCGTTTCTTTAGAATTTTAAAAATACATTAATCTAGAAAGATAGTGCAGATCTGAAGGCAGCTTAATTACAAACATATATCTATCTGATTATCAGACTAAGAAGATAACAAAAACAAAGAGAAGATAAATGGCATTCATCTTCCTGACCAGACAGCCTCAGAGAAGGGGACCAGGTCAGCTATCTCCAAAAATATCCATTATAAAACCACGTATCTTCCTCATTATTATTAGATGAAAGAGCAGGGATTATTCCACATAGCACAGACTTTTCAGATCCCTATCAAGTCTATATGCAAGTTACCACATAAGCCATCAGCAAGAAGTTAAACTAAATCTCATTCTGAATTTGTTTGCACGAGATGAAGGTTCTTCACTACTGTCAACAAAATTTATATAACTGAACTTTAACTTGTAGTACTCTTTTAAAATCAAATTCAGCATTTAATAAAAATGACTTTCATGTGTTGATTTTTCTCTCTGAAAAGTGTTAAGCTGGCTGACAATTATTCTACACGACTTTCAAGTAACATACTCCACATCACCCATAGAAAATGTTTTTTTTTATAATACACAAACAGTATCATTTGTACCTGAAAATTTATCCAATGCATCCTTACTTCCATTTGTCTGTGCTCCTACACGCCGGAACTGCTGTACGATGGTACTTAGCTCAGAAGAACGCTGGGAGATTCTGTGTTCAGCTATTCGAAGACGTTCTTTCAAAGCAAGAAATTCTCGTTGATAAGCGATTATCTTTTCTAGAGGCAAAACAAAAAAAAATCCTTAATGCATTAAAAAAAATCCAAACAGAAACTGTAAGTTTCATTGAAACTGTAAAATATGTTAAAATTAGTAGACTTCAAGCATAACACTGACATTTCTCAAATGGTGCAACTATAAGGACCATATCTGTGTTAACCAAAGCAAAGCTGATAATATATACTGACAGGGTGAGTGTAACATGTTTTATAGCATAATCACTCATTTGAATAGACTCAATGTTTCCTCTCTACTTCCGATTCTTCAAAGATTTGTCAGGACCAGATGTTCACCAAATTCCTGATTCCTAAAAACCCAGTAAGCTGGGTGTACAATGAGACTACTTGAGATCTGTTTTAATGAACTGAGAGAATCACAGGACAAGGAAAACTGGATCTTATGAGGATGACTGCAGCTATGAAAACAGTGGATACAAATGAGCACACTCAGACCCAGTCCCATGGTGGACATGGGCATAGCAACCAGGCAGGGGACTCATTCATTCCCTCGCCCTCAGTACCCCATGGGGCATGAGTGTGACTGGGGCAGCGCTGGCAGACTCACAATCTCACTCAAGGGAGAGAGAGCAGGGCGATGGTTTTCAACTTCTCTACCAAGCTAGACAGCCACCAGTTACTATTCTGACACCAAAACACGAGCAAACCTGTTTTTTGAAACTGAACATTACACATAAAAAGAAATAAACAACGTTATAATCTGTTTTATTCAAGGATGAATTCAGTGAGAAACAGACTTATGGAATCTGAATCTGCACATTTCTTAAAGCTGGTCTTGAAAACAAAAACATTGTCAGTTATACCACTGATACTATTTTTTGTCCCTGTGTCAGGGAAGCAAAGTACCTGCTAAGGATTCTGTGGTAGGGAAAAATGTTTCTCCGGCTTCACTGCCCCACTTGCCTACATGAAGTAATGGAGCAACTGGAGACACTTCCTTCCCCGAGGTCTATGGGATTCAGGAGGAGGGAAGCAGACCGGGGTGGTGACCAGAATGGGGCACACAGGGAGCCTCGGGATGCCAGCCACATTCTAGTAATGCCCTGAGTGATGTGGTTTAATGAAGTTCACTGCTGCACATGCAGGGTCTGGGCACTTTCCTGAACATATAAGTTCACATTGAAAGAAAAGTTACTAAGTTATAACTCACAAATACAAAACTATAGAGAACCAGGTGCAATGCAACACACTGTAGTCCCAGATTCTTGGTGGGAGGCTGAATCAGGAGGATCCCTTGAGCCCAGAAGGTGCCCAGGACACCAGCCTGGGCCATATAGCAAGAACCCAGCTGGGGTGGGGGGACCTCAATCTTGTAAAAAATATTAAATTCTACCTAAGCTAAATAATAAACTCATTCAGTACCTTTCAAAATAAATAATTCCAAGGGGGAACACTTAATGTCTGATTCTAAACTTCAGCCAGAATAGCATTTTTTATTAATCTTATTGGTACAGTTAAGGTATACAATATAATTACATTCATCATTGGAAAGTCGCACCTTTACACAATCCATCTTGGGTAGAATAGCATCTTTAAAGTACTGAGGAATGATTTAAATGCCAGCACAAATATTGATGGTAATGGATTACAACCTACTGAATCCATGAGGCCATATCAATAAAGAAATACAAATTAACAGATGAGGGTAAAAGGTTTCTTATAGCAGAATGTCAACTAATAAATGTAGAAGGAATGACAGGAAATTGCCATTCTACAATCTTCACAGCAAGACCTGATTCAAGCCAGCATCAAATACAGATGCTCTAACTAGCAGGGAAGCGCCTGACTACAAACAAGATATGTAAATATCTCAAAGTATCTCCCCAGAGTACTCATTTTTTACACAGGGGACAACACTGATCTCACAGTGGAGAAACCTGGCAGACGAGGTTAACAGAATGACCCAAGTTGCAGAGATCGGGCACCCTCCAAGGCGGGGCACAGAACACAGCTCCTGGGTGGTGTCCCTGCCAAAGTGCACCACCTGATTCCAATCTTGAGGAACCAGCAGACACATCTAAACTGGGGCTCCACACATAAACACACACCTTCTACTGTCAAGGTCAAAGACAAAGCCTAAGGAAATGCCCAGGACCGAGACAACTGCAAAACAAATGGCCAGTAGTCCTGGACTCAATTCTGACCAAAAAAAGGAAAAAAAAAATGATATTAAGAACACTGCTGCCCCAGTACCAAAAAAAAAAAAAAAAAAAAAAAAACACTGCTGGATAAATAACAGAATCTAGAGAGCTGATAATGCCCTACTGACATTACATTTCCTGAACTCGACGCTATACTATAGTAATATAAGAGAAGGCCCTGGTGCATAGAAAATAAGTACTAAATTATGTAGGGGTAGAGAGGCATGATGGCTGCAGTTCTCAAAAGTTCTGAAGAGGAAAAAAAACCTCCTAGAGCCTTAGCTCTAGGGTGATAGAGTATTCACAGTGGGTGAAATGTGTACAGAAGTTATCTGCACTATCCTTACAACTCTTTTTTTGGTACCAAGGATTGAACTCAGGCCCTTATGCTTGCAAGGCAGGTGGCAGCACCACTGAGCTAAATCCCTGGCCCCTCTCTTCATTTTTTTAATGAAATTTTTTCAAAAGGCTAAGCAGGACTGCGGGGCAGACACAGGCTCAGTCCTTCAGCAGCTTTGGGTGGGAGGGAGGTAGTCTGAACCAGGAATGGTGTCCCTGCATGCATTTTCTTGGCATATGTGCACTGTGTGTTTGTGGTACTAGGGATTGAGCCCTGGGCTTTCAAACTGAGCTACATCCACAGTCAGTTTCAATTTTTATTTGAAAGAGTCATACTAATTTTCTGAACTGCCAGGCTGGGTTGAATTGTGATTCTCCTGCCTCAGTCTCTCTAAGTACTGGGATGCCACGTGTGCTCCACCATGCGTGGTTCAGCACTTTCTAACCTCCCCCGTGCCAGGGGCCAGTTTCACCAAGCAGGAAGAATCACCAGTACCTGTAAAGGAGACTCCGGATTCCAAAATGCTCCACAACTGTGAGAGGAACTCAAATACTTTTTGAAAGTCACTTAGGGAAGATTGTTTGGGCTGGGGGACTACGGATAAGGTCATACATATTCTTAGTCCACAACCCAAAGCTATGAAAATGCTCCAGACGGGCCATTTCCTACCCAGCTCACTTCCGCCCTTTGTTCCACTCTGCCTAACTTCCACACTGGAAATTTCCATATGGCAGGGCACACTCATCCGCCATCTAGAATGCCAACTCAGCTTTCTAGAAGTTTCCTATAATTTTCCCTATTCACCTTTCCCATAAGACTAGATTCCTTTCTTGACAAGAACAGAGTACCAGGTCCCTGCAGTTCCATTCAAACCTCAAAAGTAATGATGTGTTTGACAATTCCCTATTTTCTTCATTAGTAATAAAATGCCAATCTTTGCTTTGAATCATTTTAGCCAACATCTATTTAACAAGGGCTCCTTTAAAATCATCCTTCACTCCCTACTTCTGCCCTTCTGCCCTGCCCTGCTCTTTACGCTGAAAAGCAGCTGTGAGTGGCCAGATCTTCACTTTCAGAGGAGGTCAGTCCTCGGTCACCCGCACACCCCACCCTCAGACAGTACTCTGAGGAGTCAGCCCCTCTTCTTTGGGGCCACCTTTGAGTAAACTTGATTCCTTCCACAACTCCTGTCCCCTGAATTTTGGTCATTTCAAGTGAGGAGCAACATGGACATTTCATTGCAGTAATATCTGGAGGCCACTACCAGAACCCAAGGGATTTCCCGGCCACCCTCCTCCTGGGAAGCACCCAGCAGAGCTTATTGTTTTATTTTTTAATAAATGGAACTAGTTTTTAATTGTAGAAAATGATATATCCAGATTAAACAAAATTGCAAATCATGTCTTGTGAAGCTAAGGATTTAAAGCACAAAATTTCAAAACATAAAACTGACATTTGATCCTTTTTTTTTTTTTGCAAAAATAGCAATTTCATATGATTCAACAATTCAAATAACAGGCCTGAGCTCAACAACTTAAAAACCGATCAATGAATAACAATAACACAAGGCAGTAGTAATACCCGTTATGTAGCACGTAAAAACAGAACAAAAAAACCTTTTTTATTTTTTTAAACAATGGTACCATTTTATTAGGAAGATATGGGGGGGTACTACTGAATTCTTTACACTAACATTAAAGTTCTGCAAAATTAAATCCACTTTTAATGTTTCAATTTTTAAAATTTTAGGATGAAACAAAAAAATTCTGATGCTGAAGAAAGTGTCCATCAGTCCCATCTGGCTCACCCCTCCTTCAGTGCCTCCCTCACTGGACATCTCCACACAGAAATATTAAGTAAAAAGATACAATTGAAGAACTCCTTTGGTAATACGGTTCAAAAACTCAACAAGCTTTATTTTTTAGGAATTCCCACTGCCCTTAAAAAAATGTCTTATTTCACATTTAATTTAATTTCACATTTATCACTGTTACATAACCAATTTAAAATAGAATTTTGCCTGGATGAAATTGGGGTGATTTCCCACTTACAAACCTCTAAAACAAAGAAAAAACAAAAATCTGAGCTCAGGAAGAAAGAAGAACTGAAGCCTAGAAAAGCTAAGACATAGTAAGCATGAGTCCAAATCCAAAATGTTGAAAGAACAGGATCTGGAAAGACAATTCTAAGTGGAAGGAAGGCCAAACATTATAAACCAGGCATCTGTTTCCCCAGCCTCAACCCCAGCACTGGAGAAACTGAAGGAGGAATGCAAGTTCAAGTCCAGCCTAGACAATTAGTAATTTAATGAGACCCTGTCTCAAAATTAAAAAAAAAATTTTTTTGAAAAAGGGCTAGGGATGTAGCTCAAGCTCTGGGTTTAACCTCCTGTATTGAAAAAAAAAAAAAATTTTTTTTAAGCCACCTGAAAGTTACCCTGCCCTCATCTTGTTCTACCTGGTCTGACCTAACTGACTTTCTACCTCACACAGAGGCTCCTC